TTGCTTTTTAACTCTTTCCAAGCCACACACCATCGCATGATAAATTATATTGTTACATTGTAGGCTAGGCAAAGCTTATTGATAATTGTTTTGAGATGCATCATCCATCTTTAATTACTTCGTAGGGTAATTGGCATTGATGCCACCTCCCATTGTCCACTGACTGGTTCCTTCAATTCTCAATAATCTGTGTGTCCGTCCACTTTATTAATTTTTATTATTGTCACTTTAGGACATTTTACAAAAATAAAGTAATTTGGAATGTACCTTATCTCTTCTTTAAAGAGAAAGAGAGGTATTTGCAATCAGGACCCAATGATTGATATCCCTGAGCTCATAGTTCAATGTTTGCCGTGTAGGTGAAATTCCTATCAAATCAGACACTTATCACTGATATTTGCATTTTCCTTTGAGACCTCTGTTATCTGAAGCGTTGATTTGTTTCTGCTGTGTTTGACGGTTTGGAAGCACTTCATGTTACCATTTATACTTTAAAGGCAAAATTGATGCACAAAATCAGAAAGTACTAATCTACAAATTATTATACAGTGCATATTAAAGTCTAAAGGATTATACAACTGCAAAATTATACACATTGTTACACAGTTAACTACTACTGAGATTACATTTAGTCAATTGTTACACTTCTAAGCAACTTAGACCACATCAGTATAATATACAGCAGTGATTATGATTTCTTGATAAGAGCTAATGACTTGGAAATATACTACCTCTGTCTTAATCAACCTGCACAGAAGCTAAATAGAACCCCCTCATCCTTACAGTTGTAACTCTAGAACATTAGATTATTGTCTTCACTTCTCCTCCAATTCCCGTGGTGCACTTATTTGCCAAATGAAGCAAAGTAGAATCACATCATGTTATAGTAGCAAGATCTACATTGACTATACTTCAGAATAACGTAACATTAGATTGATCCATGACTATAATTGTGTGATTACAACTTAGCTAAGGCAATCATGAGATATTAGTTTCTCTACCAATCCTACAGATAAAGAACAAAAAGTGTGTTTATGACCAGTCTCTAGTAGAAAAATAAAATTAGGAACTGAATTGAATGCAGAAGAAGTTTCAGAAGACGGATAAAACAAATAAGAGAAGCAAAGTGAGATAATGAAAAAGACTGGCAACTAACACAAAAAGGAATCCCAAAGTTTCATTAAGGTGGATAAAAAGTTGCTCGAAAGAAGCAGTAGGGCTCATTTAAAGATGAGAGAGGCGATTTTTGTGTGGAAGCAAAGTGCACAGTTGAGGTACTAAATAAATAGTGATGAAAGGTATCTTATTTATAGATAAATATCAATTCAGATTTTCAATTTTAGAGTAGTGGCATCTGGGGTTGGTTTTGTTTTTGAAGAGTTAAACAAAAGTAACTATATAAAACTATTTTTTTGTGAAGTGACCTAATCCAGTACTTGGCAGAGAGCAAACACCCCATAGAGTGCTAATGGAAGATTGGTTGTACTGCACTGGTTTATGACAGGAAGTATAAACATTTGAGGGCCATTATCCTGAACCAAAAGTAAGCTAATCAGGATTGGTTTTAGTTTGAGAAACACTGGTATTAAAAGTTTTTGGATAGCTTAGAGAAGACTTGACTGTGATCAGAAGCAAAATGCGTTTTAAGAATATTTGTGGAATAGGAATTCACAGTTCACAGGAAAAAAAAATGGGCAGTATCAGTTACGTCTAACTTGAAGATTTGATATACAGGGATCATCCCTCCGGATTTAAATTGTTTTAAATGGTGAAATTGGGGAATAGATTGAGGTTTTTTTTGCTGGCGTTTTTTTTTAAAAGAATCTTTTTAAACCGTTCTGCATATCAAATGTCTTTTGCATTTTTGATCTGTATGTCATAAACTTCTGGTTTAAAGAAGCACTGCAGCTTGTGCAACTATGTTTCAGTGTATCTTCGCCACATTAACTGAAAATAACTACAAGACCTATAGATACAGATATCAGTTTGGGATGGGGCTTGTTCAATAATACTATCACCTGAGGTCATAACATTTACTTTGCATCTGTTATTACCAACGAGGCAAATGATACCCAAGTCATAGATACAGGAGAAAATTCACTAGAACGGTTCAGAATTGATAATGGATGGACAGTCATTACTTAAAGTTGACAAAGCTTAGTGGCTTGAATGAGGTGTGTCCCAGGGTACTGAAGGAAATGATAGTGGAAATTGTAGAGGCACAAGCCATAATCTTTCACACATGCATAGCTTGTTCCCTAGAAGTTGCAAGGTTAAACCCAGCTATTACAGGCTAGTTGGTTTGACTTCAATACTCGGGAAATTTAAAGAAATAATAACTTGGAATAGATTTAATAATCATGTGGACAGATGTAAGTTAATTAAGGGAAACCAGCATAGATTTCTTGAGCGGAAAATAGTGTTTAACTAACTTGGATTTTTCTGAAGGTGTAACAAAGGTGCTTGATCAGGGTAAAGCTTGATGTGGTAAACATGGAATTCCAAAAGATGTTTGCAATAATGACTTCCAAAAGATTTGAGCAAATTTAGAGCTCGTGGAACATAACATCATAATATTAAATTGACTCAGTGACAGGAAACAGTAATATTTAATAAATATTTTTCAGGTTGGAGAAAGGTTTGTAGTGGAGTTCCTTCGGCATCAGTATTGGGATTGCTGTTTTCCTGGTATATGTTAATGAACTACGTGTTGGTGTATAAGGGACAATTTCATAGTTTGCTGATGAGAAAAAGCTTGGAAGCATTGTCAGCTTTGAGGTAAACATTGTAGAACTTCAAAAAAAAATTGACAAGTTGGTGAATTGGACAGATAGCTAGCAATGCAGGTAAGTGTGAGATGATATATTTTGGTAGAAAACATGGAGAGACAGAACGAAATAAAGAATAGTATTCTAAAAAGTGTTGGAGCAGAGAGACCTAAATTATTCAAGATGATAGGGGAGCATTTAATAAAACGTGATACGTAAGTTTTTATTAAAAGGGGCATGGAGTACAGGGCAGCAAGATTAAGCTGAACTTGAATGTGGCATTAGTTAGGAATTGTGTACTGTGTACAGTTCTGGGTGCCAAACTTCATGAAGGATGTGAATGCAATCAGGAGGAGTGCAGAAGCAGTTTGCAAGAAAGGAACCAGGATTGAGAAACCTACTTTATGAAGATAGAAATTTGAATTCTTGTCTTTGTTGGAGAGAAGACCCAGAAGACTGGAGGGAAGTTTTCAAAGTTAGGAGGGGTTTCTACAGAACATAAGAGACTTAAAAGTATTTGCAAAATATGCAAATATAATGTGAGAAATACTTTTTCACACAAGAGTTAGGATCTGGAATGTACTGCCTGGAAGTATGGTGGTGGTAAGGTCAATTGAGACATTTGAGGGTTTTAAATGAGCATTTGAATAGAAACAATGTGAAGAATTACAGCGAAAAGGCAGGAGAATGACACAAAGTTATAATGTGCTTTCAGAGAGCTGGTGTGTGCTGATGTGATGAGGTCAAATGGCCTCCTCCTGTGTTGTAGCAATTCCTAGAGATGTGAATGTGGTCCTTCCAAGATAGACAAAGGCGGAGAAGTGTACAAGGAGGATGGTATGACCAAATTTGGCAAAAGCTGCAGACAGTATTGGGAAAGGTGAAGGAGAGATTATCTTTGTCACAGTCACAGATAATGTGCTATGACAGAGTCAGAAACTTGGTTGGAGCACTTAAATATTGAGTTGATCGGAAAGAGAGTAGGGAATTAGGTTTACCACTCTTTAGCAGCAGTATGCTTGGTCTGCTCACATCTTTGTGAAACTAATTGATACTACTCTGTATAGTATAAGATCAGAAATAATTAAATTTGCAAAGGGACAAACTCCTTTACAATTTCTCTTTGAACAGATTTAAAAATGTATGTTCTTAAAGCATTCCCGAGTTTCTTTTTAAGTTGTTCAGAACAAAAATATTTTAAATAATGATGTGTGTTTGGTGGAAACTTTAAAGTTATTTATTTTACCCCACCCTCATTTTGCATTCTGCCCTCATCAGTGGGATTTGATTTTAGATTTGATCCAAAATGCTAGATAAAGTCACAGCTGACTAAGGATGACCATTATTGCTTATTTAAGGGTGGACTGGTTGTTACTGAAAGGCCAGCGAAATAGATTAAATTTAATTCCCTCTGCACCCAGAAATCTTTTGATGTCTGCCTTGACTATAATCAATACCTATCTGCAATTCTCCAGGGTAGTGAATTCCAGGTTCATATAACGTTAATTGAAGACAGTCCTCCTGGTTACAGTCTTAAATGGTAAATCCTTTATTGAGAGATTGTATCCTGGAGTTTTAGATTCCCTTGGCCAGTGATTTTCTCAGCAACTACTCTGTCAAGAGCATTAAATATTTTATATCTTTCACTAAATCATACTAATTTTTGAGCCTCAGAGAATATAAACCTAGCCTACACAAATCCATCCTTGTAGATCAATCTCCTAACTTCATAAACCAGGCTAGTAACAGAGGAAAAAAAGGGAAAGGCAGAGGACATAGAGCAATTTAAGCCCGCTCTGTCATTCAGGCTGATCATCCAATTGAGTACCCTCTTCCTGATTTCGCCCCATACCCTTTGATCCTTTTAGCCTAAGAGATGTATCTAATTCCTTCATGAAAATAATTCAGTGTTCTTGGCCTCAGTCACTTTCTGTGGGAGATAATTCTACAGGTTTACCACTCTGGATGAAGAGATTTCTCTTCATCTCAGGCCTGAATGGCCAACTCTGTAGCCTTTTAACTGTGATCCCTGCTTCTGGTCCCTTTCGTCACCAAAGACATCCTTCCTGCATTTACTCTGCCTATTCCGGTTAGAATTTTCTTTCAGCGTTTCCCATCTATGGTAAGCTCATTTATATATGTATCTGTAGTTGTAAAACTGTTCCTCTAAAGTGCTCTGAATTTTATAAAATTTTAATTATAATTCATCATTGTTTACTGTTTCCTTTTTAGACATTTGAAAAGTGTGGACCATTGAAAAGTTGCAGTATATCGAAGAAGAAAGACAAAACAGGTGAAGATTTCTTGTGTATTTCCTTTTTCAGTATATTAACTTGTTGAAACTTCAGAGTTTGCTGACTAAATGCACATGCACAGATTTAACTATGTCTTTGTTGGTATAGAGAGTAGTTAATTAAGCGATTGACCTTAATTGATCAGTTAACTGACTAGATATAAAGGGGAAGGTGGAACTAGTGTGTAGGATGAACTGTAAGACTGAATAGTTAGTAAATCCTTTACACAATGAAAGATGTCTTGTCTTTTTGCCTCTTTGATTGGCTTGGATGATTTGCCTTTATTTTCCCACTTCTCACATACCAGTCCCACCTGTTACCCTTAATATCTGCTCAGTACATTGCATCTTTCCTCAAGGGGGAGGAAAAAACAGCTGCTCGTTACTAGAAGATTAGGTGTAGAGCTTTTTTCAATTGGAGGCTCAAGAATGGAGGGAAAATTTGGGTAATCTGTTAACATTTATGGACAAAATTTATGAGAAAGACAATGTATTAAGTGCATTTGCAATGGTTGAACTTTGATACATTTACAAAGCTGAACATTTATTCCATAGAATGTGGAGTGGAATTTAATAGACTTTATTCAAGATTGAAAATGTTCCATTTGGAAATTCCTAAATCCGAGCTTACATTTAAATTGTTCAACTGTGCTAAAGTGTGAAACGCGGAAAGACTCCTAGTGTTACCCGGAGTTAGATGTTAAAAGAAAGATACACACCTTTGAAATGGATATCAGAAGCCTTAAAGAAGACTTTGTAAAACATTAATTTCCAGCTGCCTTCAGTGTTCAAATGGAGCACTCGGCAGTAACACACAAAATGAATGACTCAATGCTAGTGGCAACGTGAAACCACCCAGATTATCTACAGGTTTTCTATGAGAAGAGGCTCAAATTAAATTGGACATGGAACATGGCAAGGCAATTGTTTTTGAAAAGTTAATAGATTCATAGTTTACGCTGTCCAGAGATAATTGTATTCCTTTAACAAGGTCTAGCCTCTGTAATCAAAATGTTAAGGTGTGATTGATATTAAGAGAGAGTTGCTTGAAGGAATGTAGGCTACATCTTAAAACAACACTAGCAGTTTGCACAGTCATCAAACTGCAGGTTTAATAATCCAACTTTAGGATGCTGGAGTAAAGGACAATGAGTATGTAGAAGCTACAGAAGGAAGCAGTAATAAATGTGTTTATGTTTTTTAAAACTCATAGACAGTGTCCTATTAGAAAGGGATTTTAATAAAGTTGCACCGACAGGCTTGAAGTTATGAGATAAAGAAATACATCTTTGTTTTGCAGTTTGTAGGCATTGACTGTAGATTTCTTCAGTCGTCAATAATATAAAATTAATTTTAAAAACGCAATAGCAAACAAAGTAAGCACCAGCTGGGTGCACCGGCTAAATTTCTGTCAATGGGTGGGGTTGGGGTTTGGTGGTGGAGTTTGCCAATGATAAATTTAGGGATAGTTATGAAAATATGAATATTTTGGTAATGCACACAGCAATGGAAAGTCCTTTTACTAATTGAATGTGTGCAAGATTATTCCAGGTGAATTCACGCAAATGAAAATGAAAATGCAAATAAAACAAAGAACTGCGTATTAATCAAAACGGAAGTTGCTGGCGAAACTCAGCAGGCCTGGCAGCATCTGTAGCTCTGCTTTCTTCCTAATGTTTTAAGCCCAGTGACTGTTTTTCAGAACTGATAGCAGCTAGGAAAAATGTTATTTATGGTGTTGACAAGGTTGGAGGAGAGCAGGGAGAGATGAGCAGAGAGGTGAAGATGAAGCCCAAAGAGAAAGATATTTGAAAGGAGTAACTAAATGAGGTGATTATGGATGGTAGACCAGGACAGAAGAGAAATTAAATAAGTGACAATGAGAGCTGAGGATGGATAGTCTGTGCTGCAACAAACCATGAAATGTGATAATAGGCCTAAGAGTGGATGAAAATGTGTCGGCTATGGTAAAAATGGCCCGTGTCATAACTGGATTAGGTATAGGGGTAGGTAAAGAACGTAGAAGGATGTCAAGTTCCAGAGGCTGCAGGGTCTCCAAGTGGAAATGAGATGCTGTTCTTTGAATTTGTGCTGAGGCTTGCTGAAACTCTGCAGCAGGTTTGTGACAGAAATATGGGCCCGGAAACACAGTGATGTGTTGAAGAGGCAGGCAACTAGAAGCTGAGGGATATTTTTATAGACAGAACATAGGTGTTTTGCAGAGCGGTCACCCAATCTGTGTCTCACTGCATCCTTCACCCCCTCCCTGTGGTTGTTTGGGGAGGTGCTGGGAATGGAGGAGGAGTGGACCAGGATGTCCTGGAGGGAACGTTCCTTGCAGAATGCTGACAAAGGTGGGGGAGGGGAATGTGTGTCCGATTGTGACGTGCTATTGGAGGTGACAGAAATGGCAGCTTACCGTCCTTTGGATGTGAAGGATGGTGGGGTGTTAAGTGAGGACCAGGGTTGTTGAAGGAGAAATAGGAGGGATGAGGGCAAAAGTGTGGGAGATGGACCAGACACAGCAAAAGTCCTTGTCAACCTCGGAGTCCTCCGTTAAAGAAAAAGGTGGACATTTCTGAGGCTCCTCCAGTGGAAAATGGCATTGTCAGGACAGATGCAATGGATGTGGAGAAACTGGGAGAATGGGATGGAGTCCCTACAGGAAGCAGGGAATGAGAATATAGTCCTGGTATGTGTGGGAGTCGATGGGTTTGTAATGGATATCGGTGGCCAGCCTATCTCCAGAAGTGGAAACGGGTGTTGAGGAAGGGCAGGAAGGGGTCAGATGGATAAGCTGAAGATGAGGGCGGACGTTGGAAGTGAAATTCATAAACTTTTCCAGTTCAAAACAAGAAGGGGAAGCAACACTGATGATGTCGTCAGTGTACTAAAGAGAGAATTGTGTGTGCATGCCAGAATGGGACTGGAATAACGAATGTTCTATGAACCCTCAAAGAGACAGGCTAACTGGGGACCATGCGGGTATCCATGGCCATGCAAGAAGAAAATGTAGGGAGTTGAGCAGTTGCTCAAAGTGAGGACAAGCTCAGCAAGGCGGAGGAAGGTGGTGGTGGATGGGAATGGGTCAGGCTTTCTTTCTGGAAAGAAGTGAAGGGCCCTGAGATCATCCCGATGGGGGATGGACGTGTGAAAGGATTGTATGTCCATGGTGAAGAGGAAGCATTGGCGGTTGCCTACAAACTTGATATTTTGAAATCGATGTGAAGAATTACAGATGTAAATGAGGAAGAAAAAGAATGAGTTAAGGTGAGAAGAAATACCTTCTGTGGGGCAGGTAGAAACAATGGGTCAGCCTAGGCAGTCCTGTTTATGGATTTTGGAGGAAAGGTAGAAGCAGGCTGTACAGGGCTGGGAGACTATCGGTGGGGTGATCCCCAGATGAGATGAGGTTGCTGACAGTCATAGACACAATGCCTGATACTCGATGGTGGTGTCATGTCCGGGGGAGATAGGAGGAAATGTGACAGAGCTGGTGCTCAGCCTCTGCAATTTAGAGGTCAGTATGCCAGACAATAACCATTCCATCTTTGTCAGTTGGCTTAATGAGAAACTCAGGATTGGATCTGGGAGTATGAAGTACAGTTAGTTCAGAGGGAGATAGTTTTGAATGGGTGAGGGGGGAGCAGAGAAATTGAGAAATTGACGAATGTCACGTCAGCAGTTCTCAATGAGCAAGTCAAGTGTAGGTAAAAGGGTAGAGGGAGGAATGCGGTTGCAGGATAGTGTTGGAGGTTGGTGAAAGTGTCTGTGAGACGAGGAGAGCGCTCCTGTCCAAAGAAATGGACATGCAGGTGGAGGTGTTGGAAGAAGAGTTCAAAATTCATGTCTGGCCCGAATTTCATTGAGTTGGGGACGCAGAGGGATAAAACTAAGACCTTTGCTGAATACATAACGTTCAGCATCAGAGAGCTGAAGATCAGACGGGATAGGAAATATTCCATAAAAGGTGGGATCAGGAGAAAGGCTGAGTCAGAGGGAAGGGGAGGGGAGAAAGATTCCAGAGGGATGTGGGTATCTCAGAATTGTTGTAACTTGCATTCCTTAATGCCTGAAAGGAAGAGAAGAAGGTTCTTATTAAAACATCAAATGAGTGAGATAATGAAGTGGAACTGGAGGACAGGACAGCTCTGAGATAGTGTGAAGTAGTGCTGTTGGAGAGAGAGGTCAAGAATGTGCATGTGGTGGCACATAGTACTGAGTGTGGATCTCAAGATGTGATGAGAACAGCTGTCTGAGGAACATTGTACATCAGAGGTACCTGTGATCTTGGGTGGATTTGAACCACGAATAATGAAACTTCTGTCAAGATCCATGTAGGTGAGCCTGAGCCAGAGGCAGTTACTGAGGAATGAGGTGGTGGCTGTCGAAGAGAGTTTTGGCAAAGACTTCAAATACTAGGAGAGAAAACAAAAGTAATGATAGATGGGAAGAAGAAAAATTAGAACGAAATCTGATCGGGAAGAGGAGCAGAACGTCTTCAAGGTAGCACATTAAAAAGAAATATGGCAGCTAGTTAGACACTGATACAAAAGAAAAAAACTGCAGATCTGAAACAAAAACAGAAATTGCTGGTGACACTCAGCAAGTCTGACAGCATCTGTGGGCAAAAAGGAAAGTTAATGTTTTGAGTCCAGTGAGTCTTCATCAGAACTGATAGCTGCTAAGAAAAAACAGCAAATGGTTGGAGACTACAGTTCATATTTTTCCGGAGAAATTCCAAAACTTTCTTCAGTAATGAGCAATCATTCTTCTGCTTTAGGAGTGACTACAAAAATGAGGTTTTTCATTTTGAGAAGAAGCGTCATTATTTAAATGGAGAAAAACTGCAGAAAGCTCCAATACAAAGTGATTTGGAAATACTTGTTCACAAAATACAGAAAGCTAGTACACAGATGCAGCAGGTAATCAGGAAGGCTAATGGACTGCTGGCCCTTATTCCAAGGGGATGGAGTACAAGTGTAGGGAAGTCTTCCTGCAACTGTACAAGGCTCTGAGACCACATAAGGAGTACTGTGAGCAGTTTTCGCTCCATTATTTTAGAAAAGATATAATTTCATTTGGAGGCAGTTCATAGAATGTTCACTAGAATGATCCCTGATATGGAGGGTTGCCTTATGAGCAAAGGTTATAAACAGGTTGGGACTACTCATTTTAGAAGAGTGAGAGTTGATCTCGTTGACATGTTCTCGGATTTTTAGGGGCTTGACAGAGTAAATGCTGTGAGAATGTTTCCACTCATGGGTGAGTCTAGGACCTGGGAGAGAGTCTCAATAAAAGGGTGCTAATTTAAGATTGAGATGAAGTGGAATTTCTTTTCTTAAAGTGTTGTGTGTCTTTGGAAATCCTTACCACAGAAAGTTGTAGGGGCAAAGTCTTTGTGTCTATTTAAGACTGAGATAGATGCTTATTCAGTATGGGAATCAACAGTTTTGGGGATAAGGCTGGAAAGTGGATGTGAGGAGTTTCAGATCAGCTACGATCCTAGTGAATGATGGAGCAGACTTGAAGGGCTGAGTGGCTTAATTCTATTCCTATTTCATGGTTTTACGATTAGCTCCAGTTTTCCTATGTACTTGAATGCCCTGCATGCACAGAAGTGCATTTATTGAGGCTGAGGTTTCAGAAAATTCAGCAAGCCTTATGCAATCACACAAGGAAATCATCAGGAAATTGTAGTCTAGGAAATATGCATTACAAGTGAGAAGGACCGATAAAGTAGAAAGGTCTGGTTATAGGTAGTGAGGGGGGAAGGAAAAGTAATTTTGCAGTATGGAAACAACTAAACTGTAGGGGTGCATTCCTCGAGGCAAATTTGCACTGATTACACACTTACAGAATCCAAACCTCTGGCTATGAATAACCCTATTGAACCGTTTAGTGACATTTGAATTTCTAATATTTTGTTTTAAAGGTTCTCTTTTATCAATGGGATATGGTTTTGCGGAATATGCAAAATCTGAGTCTGCCAACAAAGCACTAAAACTGCTGCAGGTAACCATACTTTTGTATTATTTTTGTGGAACAGTATTTCAGATATCTTTTCTATTTAATATGAATCCAGTTGTAAAATGTATATTGAACTTACTTTTGTCAAAATAACAAATGGTTTGGATTTTAAAATTCCTTTTTAAAGTAGTATACCTGTAATTTCAACGTAAAATTGTAAGAATATGTTGGCTTTTTTGCCATTTGTAAACAAAAATACAGATGAGAGTTCCTGAACTGCACATTATAAATTCAACTAACATATCTGTGTCAATGATATGTTGATATCTAGTAATTCAGATGTGATGGTAAACTGGTGAAGGTCCAGGTTGGTGAAAATAATTATGTTGGATTGCAGTTTATTGTACAATAACAAATAATCAATTAGTAACTGAAATACCACACACATTCCTGGAATGTGAAACATATTTGCAAATTATAATTGGCAGAATTTTAAGACTTCTCCACAAGTGGATTAAGAACTGTACTTTTATGAGGGAAAAAGGCAAACTTAATTTGTGACAGAAGTACAACATTCTAAAGAACCTACAGTTATGTAGGGAACTTTTAACTTTTCTAGACCTTGTGTTATTTTGTATAGTTGCATTCAAATTTTTTCAAATATGATTGATATTGCATTGAAATTTTGATGATGAAATATTAACATCTATATTGTGCCTTTCAGGATGTCGGGGTGTCTAAAGCCTTCTTACCCTAGTGAAGTTCTTTTAAAATGTAGTCACTGCTAATGTAGCACCCAGTGGTGGTGTATATTCTACAACAGTAGCATCCTTTTGTTTCAGACAGCACCTCACCCTGCCCAGCCAGGGCAATCATCTCATCCCCAAGATTAAATTATTCTTTGAATCCACAATATTAATGGGGTCTCTCTCACCTTTGTGATGTAGAGGCTTTTCCTCCTGACCTGCCTATCACTAGAGCCCTTTGCTAGATTAAGATGGCTCCTGGCATTTGTATCATAATGTCCAGTCGTGTGATTGGGTAATTATCTTTCTTCCTATTGGGTTTGCTGCAGCCATTCTGGCTTCGGTGTTAAACAATTCAATTTCAATATGGACATTCCGGTTCTCCCAGCCCCTTGCCAGTGTCTTAAGCATTGTGACACATTTCTGTTTGACTGTTAATTTCTGTATGAACTCTTCCTGCTACAGCAGAGGAAAATTTTAGTTTGAGAGGTAGAATAGGTTGTTCCTGAAGTCGATGAAGTTTAGAAGAATGAAATGTGACCATATTGAAACATAAAAGATTCTTAGGGGCTTGATGGGAAATATGGAGAGGTTGTTTCTCCTTGTGGGAGAATCTAGGACCAGACGGTGGTATCTCAGAGTGAGGGGTCACTCATTTCTTCTCTTAGAGGCCAGTGAATCTGAGGAATTCTTTACCTTAGTTGAGTGTTGAGGTTACATCATTAAGCATTCTCAAGATAGACAGGTTTTTAATCAGTGAGGGAAGCAAAGGCTATGAGGAAAAGTCAGCAAAGTGGAGTGGAAGTTTATCAGATTGGTCATGATTTCATTAATTGACAGAGTAGACTCAATGAGTCAAACGGCCTACTCCTGCTTTTATGTCTTATGGTCTTTTATTGTCAAAGTGACAAAGTTTAATTTTCATTCCTCGACTTCTGATATCCTACAGTACCAAATTATGATTCTTCACAGTTTTTATGTCAAAGTAAAATTTAAGAAATAGATTCCAAGAATGTTTGAAAATCCATGTTATTCTCGGAAAGAATATTTCAAACAAGATAAATGCCTTGATTGTGTAGAAGAGAAAAATATTTTTCATCAGAATTTACAAATTTTCAGGCAGGAACAGAAAAATACTATGATGTAGATCCGGCATATTGGACATGATTGCTAGAATTGCATACATTTTCCAACTGCCTGCCATCTTAATTGGGATCAGCGTTATTTACAATAGGGGTGGGAAATAACCAATAGCTTTCTCATTGTCTGCTTTAATGTTGAATCCTGTAGTTTGCATTCACACAGCCAAACACTTCGCTTTTCAGGTAGAAAATTATTTTCAAACTTAAAGCCTTTTTATTTTGTTAGACTGCCAGTGACTCAGTGTTCTCAGCTTCCCGCATAACCTTTGTTTAACTTTTCAGCTCATGCAGTCTGGCACTGAAACATATTATACATGCAAGAAGACTAGTTTTAGCTATCTGGTAACATACTGTGTACTGAGAAGACTGTGATGAACTAGTATACTCATCAGAGCTTGACTGCAAGTATGCAGTAAATTAGTTCATGGTTCTGTAAAACTTAATGGTGTTTCTGGCAAATATATTAAAGTTATAAAACTGTCACTGTCCCCTTATTTTATCTGTGTAATACGCTGTACAATATTTAAAGGTTTTGTTTAAGGTTCTCATTACAGTTCTCAACTGTTTAAATATAAATTACTTTGCCTATATGCTTATGACATTTACCTGGATTTTTCTTTTCTGGAAACTTAGCATTGTACGGTGGATGGTCATCAACTAGAGTTGAAGATATCAAACAGAGCTACAATGCAAGTATTTTGGCTTTATTTAAATTAGTTTTATTAAAGGATTGAATGTATCTACGTATTTTTGAGCCCTAAGCCAAATATCAAGCACATGATGACTTACCTGTCGTCAAAATACTTTGGGTTTTAAGTAAGAAATTTAGTGTTTTTGCTTCTGAACACCTATCGTTATGTAGCGTAAATTGATTATACTTGAGTTTAAGACATGCTAAGTTCAAAAAAGAGTTTCACTTTTTTTAGTGTATCATTCAACGTGTTACAATATGGATTGTGGTGGAAGAGTTTATTTCTGAAGTTGTACAAAATTAAGAATGGAAAGGGTACATGCAGCGGGTTAAGATTCAATCTCTTAGTTTTGTTGGGACTCGTTTCAGAAGTCGTCATGTATTTCTTATGCATTGTGGAAATTTACATATTGGAAGTCTGTACTTTACAATAAGAACATAATTGAAATGCCTGACAAGCGCATAGATGCATGTTTTAAATACTAAATTAAAATTGTATAGACATTTATTTCATGGGTCTATGATGTTACCTAAAATGAAGTGGGATCTAACAAAACACAGTCAGGAGCTCACAAGCACCATTGTTTTCAAGTCCAAGTGGCAGGAGCAATAAAGAAAGCATTAATTCAAGAAGTTAGCAAGAGCCATTGATTTGAAGAAAGTTTGTGTATGAGAATGAACTTCAGTGGAGCAGCACAAGAGTCTTGGATGTTTATGAAGTGGTCATGGTATGAGTCATAATTTCTGGCAAGATGTGTGACAAGAATAATGGTACATGACATTACAATGTGGGTTTTCAAGAAAATCTAGACCATTTTTAATGTGTAATGTTGCTTAAAAGCATTGTTTTCACTTTTGGAGACTTTTTTTCTAAATAGCGCAATTACGGTATAGGTAATTAAGTATAAAACTCAGTTTAACAAAGTTCTACTTAAATTTTAATGCCAACAAAACCTAGCTTCACAACAGTTTGTCCTGTACTGCAGCTCACATAACACAGAAGTGACACCTGTTTGAGGTGATTTTACACCATGCACTTAACGTTCAATTGGATAACTTTGTACCAGAGTTCCGTTGCAATGTATGCAGTGTTATGAAACCAGTGATTTCACTGTGCCTACTGTATGCCATAATGAGCCAATATTAACTATTGGAGAAAGGTATTAACTGAAATTGCTGTTTGAGTATGTAAAATGTTGTATTCGATAATACAGAAATCATTTTACAAACACAATTGTTTTAAAATCACTGTTTGCACTTGTGTAACTGACAATAGCTTTCCCAATTGATATAATACCTCTATGCAGGGTCAGCAAGCACCAAAATACTTTAGCATAAATGAGCACTCTGAGGACTTGCACTTCCAAAGCAATCACCAAATTAAACATCAGCTGCATTTCCAACTCTTTATATTCAGGTGTTGAGGAAATTCCAGAAAACATGAAATTGTAAAATATGTACATGATTTTTCCTCCACAACATTCAATTTGAGAACAACATTCACATTAGGAGTTAACTGCCAGAAAAATAATTGAAACATAGGTGAGGCCATGTTACATCTTTCACATTTTAAAAAACCCATAAGTCTGAGTTTTATGCTGATTTTATCATTTGATTAGATAACTAAGGGAGGTACTTATGAGTTAGCACTGACATCTCTGAATGTGAAGCTTTGTTCTCACACTGTAGCACTGTAACATCTCAACCAAAATGTCTTTAAAATTGGTTTTACTTTTCTTGGATTTACGCTAGTTTTCTGCATCGTGATATCCAACTTTTAAAAGTATTAGAAACATAACAAAATTGCTTTTGTATGCAGCACTGTGAATCCAGCAAGAAAATTCCAGAAAGCAAAAAAGCAAACGGTTTCCAAAATCCTGATTCGTAATATTCCTTTCCAGACAAAAGTGAAGGAAATCCGTGAGCTTTTCAGGTAAGAAACTATTTTAAGATTTTTCAGTTGCCCGTTACCATCCAGCATTATTAATCTCCTAAGGCATTGTCTGTGCTAAATTGTACAAGATAAGCTTTACACCTGTCTTGTTAATATTTTTCTTTCTTCCTATATTGTAACAAGAAAGTGAGAATTTTTATTTATAGTTATATAGTGCCTTCCATGACTCATCACAACTCCAATGCCTGAAATACTCGTGTAAATGTTGTAATGTAGGTTAACACAGAAACCACTGTGTGCATAGCATTTGGACCTTTTTCATTAAAATTGATCCACCCAAATTGATGTTTCCATTGTTATACACTTGTTGTCATTTTTTTCTCAATTACTACGTTATGCTAAAGGAGCAAAGTACTGTACAATCTGAATTCCGAAAACCGCTTAAGATGATTTCAGAAATGTTTTTCTTTTTTTTTCTGTCAATCTATAAATGAAAAGTAAAGCAATTTAATGGAAACGGCAGAGGCACTACACAATCGGATGTGCATGTGTGAATAAACATATTCAAGCACAATATTTGTACAGACGCTGATGATCTCCAGTGTTTTTGTGCACATGGTCAAGACTAATTATAGTATTTTACAGCTGAGTCGATTAGAGGATCGGAAGATAATTGAATGGAGATGGGAAAGGTACTGGCAGCGTTTTAAGGAGAGGCTGCATAAGTGACAGGGTCAGAGAGAGGATGAAAGAGACCACGGTCTGACAGTGGAGGAGTAGGAGATTTTGTTTATTGAAAGTTGAACAGAGAAATTTGTTGTTTAAAAGAAAAATTCTGTAGGACTGGTCAGCTGAGTGAAATTCAGATTAAGACAGCAGTCTGGAGGATTGGTACAAGTCCCATGGATAAAACACATTTGAAGTGGGCAGTTGAGGCTTTAAGGGAGAAGCAATAGATCTATTACAAAAATAAAGTCCTGTACATGCTGGAAATCATAAATAGAAATAGAAAAGGCTAGAAATACTCAGATTAAGTAACATTTGTTGAGAGAGAAAGAGTTGGGGTTTCAGGTTGATGACCTTTCATTAATCAATCAGTCTGAAATTTTAACTCTTGTTTTCTCTCGCCGCAGATGCTTGACATGCTGCGTTTTTCCAGAGTTTCTTATTTTCATTTTGCCTCAGAACAGTAAGAGTTCAGGGCCAGGAAATGTGGGGAGTTGAAATGGGCCTTGGATGTTTTAACTTGCTGCAGAGTGGTGGTGAGGTATTCAAAGTGTTGGGTTAGGGGAGCAGACTGTTGTTTTTCAGTGACAAAGGAGTTCCCCCTGTGCACCTCATAGTTTTGAAGGCAAAGGCAGAGGGGGCAGGAAAGAAAAAAATCAAACAATAACTGGTTGTGGAGAAAAGCTAAAGTTTATATTTGCATTGCAGGATGACCTCTATGTAGGTGGTTCTGTTAGAAGAAATTAAAGCCCATGAGCATTGGATGTTGTCCATTCGGCAGTTAAGTATTTGTGCCTGAAAGAGATCTGTACACTATGTTATGAAGAGCAGAGCCCTGAGAGTGCAGTGGCATTCCCAGTGAAGGAAACGCACAGTGAATTAAGAAAATTGGGCTCAGTGTGCTGACATGTCCATGGAAATGTGCAGAGATAATCAAAGAATTACAATACACTCCCAACACAAGAGTAGACTAGGTGAAAAAAAAATACAGTGCAAAATAAGGTACTTCTTGGTTTTATTCACCAGAGGGCACAGTAGGATTATATTTCAAATTTAATCCAGGTCAGTTTTCCATTTGATTTAGTTTGTAGCTCAGTAAGCATAGGCTATGAGACAAGAAATGAGTTAAAAGTTGGTCAGAAATACCGATTTAAGGCTGCTTAAATGAAGGTCCATGATTACTACCTTTTTTTAAAATTTTGCACAAAATTTAGCTATAATTAGTTTGTGTCTGAGCAGTTTCATAATGGATTTAAGTGTTGGAAAACCTCAAACCAAGGCAGTCCGTTGATAAAGCAAGAGGACTCACACCTGTAATTCTCTACAGAGCAAGTTCTGGTTTCAGCCAGGGAAGACCGAAAAAGATTTTGTTTCTCTACAGTGTTTAAGTAAAGTCAATGGTTTAGTCATTTTTTGACTGCTATTGTTCATGTCAAGGTTGAAATACAGTGGCATAAGGGCAGACCATATACTTTTATTCAACTAGGGATTGATGCATATTTGAGTGAAAGGTGAACATTTTTTTAAAAATCTGAAATGACTGAGTGGAACCTGTGCAAAGAAAATGTTTATTCTCAGTCAGTTATACAGCACAGAAACGGACCCTGCAATCCAACTTGTCCGTAACAACAAGATACTCTAAACTGAACTAGTCCCATTTGCCATCACTTGGCCCATTTACCTCTAAACCCTTCCTATTCATAAACCCATCTAGATGCCTTTTAAATATTGTAATTTACTACACCACTTCCTCTGGCAGCTCACTGCATACGCGCACCACCCTCTGCATGAAAAAGCTGCCCCTTAAGTCCCTTTAAAATTTTTCCCCTCTAATCTTAAACCTTTGCCCTCTAGTTTTGGACTCCCATACCGTGGGGAAAAGACCTTGGGTATTCACCCTATCCATGCCCCTCATGATCCTATAAACCTCTGAGGTCGCCCCTCAGCCTCCAATGCTCCAAGGAAAAAAAATCCCAGCCTATTCAGCCTCTCCCTATAACTGAAACTCTCCAATCCTGGCAACATCCTTGTAAATCTTTTCTGAACCCATTCAAGTTTCACAACAGCTTTCCTATTGCAGAGACAGCAGAACTGAGTACAATATTCTAAAAGTGGTCTCACCAATGTCCTGTTCAGCTGCAACATGACCTCCCAACTCCTATATACTCAATGCACTGACCAATAAAAGCCTTCTTCAACATCCTGCGTCTCCACTTTCAAGCAGCTATGAACCTGCACCCCAAGATCTCTATTCAACAACACTCCCCAGGACCTTACAATCAAGTGTATAAGTCCTGCCCTACCAAAATGTAGCATCTCACGTTTATCTAAATTAAACTCCATCTGCCAGTCCTCGGTCCATTTGCCCATCTGATCAAGGTCCCGTAATTGCAGGAACTTCTCAATGTTGTATTTCCTGAGGCAATTGTCTGCCAAGACTCCAAAGATAATCATGTATGATCAGTGACTCAACAACATGTGCCAGAACGTCAGACCCAGGAGGCTTTATACTATTCTGTACGGCGAGCTTTTGTCTTCAAGAATAATCTATTGGCCAAGGTTTTTTATTCAGAAAGCCACTCTGCAGAGAACTCCTGTTTTGACAAACTGTCTTTGTATATTTCTGTTCGGATATATAGAATCATAGAATCCCTATGGTGCAGAAAGAGGTCATTCAGCCCACTGAGTCTGCACCGGCCCTTTGATGAGCATCCCACCCAACCACTCATCCCTGTAGCCTGTAATGGGGGATTAACCTACCTAACCTGTGCATCCCTGCATACTATAGGACAACTTTTGGCATGGTCAATCCGCCCAACCGGCACACCTTCGACTGTGGGAGGAAACCCAAGCAAACATGGGGAGAATGTGCAAACTCCACACAGAGACCGTTGCCTAAGACTGGAATTGAATGAGGGTCCCTGGTGCTGTGAGGCAGCAGTGCTAACCACTGAGCCACCATTCGGCCCCTATATAAATGGATCCATATATATATTATACACATTTTACACATACTTTTATATTACTGACTGTATGTTAACCAATTATTGAATAAGTTTGTTTTTGATTAAAACCAAGGCTTGTGTTTATTAGAAAAAAAAACTGATCGATAAATCATTTTATTAACAATCTGGTATAAATAAGATATATATCTGACCATCTCAGTAACTGGGAAAACTTTATTATGTGGAGTATTGGAACGAGAGAGACAATGCACTCCTTCAGTCTTGGCATGACAGTACTTATTCAGATTCAAAATGATGCTAAACCTAGACTAGTGTACTATACATCTTAGTCTTTGAAAGGGAGCAAATATATACAGTAATAGAAAGGATGTTTCCTCCATCTTAAAGTCAAAAGTGGTGATATTTCCTAACGACTGCATAAGTTTCAACACCATTTACAACATATCAGATAAAGAAGCAGTGTGTATTCATAAACAGCGAGACATGGACTGTATTCAACCTTGAGTTAATAAATGGAAGGTAGCATCAATGCTATACAAGTGCAATGACCAACTCCAACAAGAGAGAATCTATCACACCTTGGTATTCAATTGCAATTCCAAAACTGATTTCCCCTGTATCGACATCCTGAAGACTTACCATTGACCTGAAGTCATAAGTACTGTGCCTGAAAAAGCAGGTCAGAGACAAGGAATTCTTCAAGAGTAATTCATTTCACATTACATGACAATGCAGCCCACTCGGGTGGCACCTTGTCCACGGCCTTCAGCATTCAGTACCTTCACTACCAATGCTCAATGGCAGCAGTGTGTATCATCTACAAGATGCTTCTCCAACAGCACTTTGCAAACCTACAATCTCTGCCACCCACAGATGTTTGGATATACCACCACCTGCAAATTCTCCTCCAACTCGAACCCCATCCTGAATTGGAATTCTGTCACTGCTGTTTCACTGTCATTGGGTCAAAATCCTAGAACGCCCTTCCTGACAGCACTCTGGTATAACTATACCTCAAGGGCTGCAGCAGTCCAAGAAGATTGTTCACCACCACCTTTGGCAGGGCAATTAGGGACCGACAATGAGCGCTGACTTAACAGCAGTGTCCATATACCATGAATTAAAGTTTTTTGATTTGTTTCAAAATGTGAAATCTTGTGGCATTGTTCTTTCAGTTAATACTAGCACTTGAATTCCATTTAAAAAGTTATTAGATCCCATCTAAATCAAAACAGTCATAATTCACCTCTGAAATTTGAAGTAATGTGAAGCCAATATGGGTTTACATTGTTTAGGAACCCTGCAAAAATCTTTCTATTGGTAAAACAATTAAATCTAAATTAAGAA